CTTCAGATTCCAGTCTCTTAAAGAAATGCTGCCTCTTCAAAAGAGGGTTCTGTGCAGTTAGTCAAAGTGGGTGCCTGTTGTGTGCCAGGCTTTGGGCGTAGGAACCCACTGACAAGTGCATCTACCACACCCCTGCCTCCTGGGGCCAGAGGGAGGTCAACATTAATTGAAATGCACAAGAACTACGAGAGTGAGGGAGGAGCTTCCTGGTGGATGGCTGAAATCTGAAGGATGAGAAGGAGAAGCAAGGAGCGCTACTGGGCAGCCATGCTGGGCAGGAGGGCTGCAGGCACCACCATGTCTGCTGGAAGTCATGGGATGAGTTGGGAAACTTATAAGAGATTGTGTAGCTGGAGAATTAGGAACAGGGAGATTCCCTGAGATGTGGAATGTGTTTGGGGAAATGGTGCTAGAGCCAGGTTACAGAGGGCTTATTAAAGTAAAGGCATTTGCTGTTTATTCTAAGAGTGATGAGAAGTCACAGAGAAAGGTGTGTTCTCGGGTGACACAGCAACTCTGTAGCAGTCCCATAAACAATGGATGGAGCGGGCAACAGTGAATGAGCAGAACCTGTTAGGTGTGCTTTGCAGTGGCCCTGGTGAGAAGCACTGGAGCCAATGTGAGAAGTGGTGATGGCGGTGGGAGAAGAAGGTGGATTTGGGAGAAGGAAGGTGCAGTGTAGACAGGACTTGATGGGGCAACTGGGGATGGAGAAGAAGCTTTGTTGGAGAAAACAATTGGTTCTGGTTTCTGCCGTGATTTCTGAGAGCAGCCACCCTCTGGAATAGGCTTAGAGCAAGATGGTGATCACAGGACAGCCTCGGTCATGCTTTCTAGTTGCTCAATTCCTCACCTCCAACAGTGACTGTTAACAATATTTTGGTTAAATTATTTTACGTGTAAAATAGTTCTACCTTTTCTAGCACAGGCTAAGGCTGGCCCTTGAAAGCTGGGAGTAAGATTGGGGTGAGAATCCAGCAACGGCTGTATCTGATTCTTCCATGAGTTAGTTGAGTCTGTGCCAAGATCCTGCGAGGTTGGCAGGAAGGCTTTCACCCATCACAGAAACTAAGGTCCAGAGACGTGTGCTCTGCTCAGAGCTTGGGTCCTGCGCATCAGAAGTCTTCAGTATCAGGTCTCCTGGATCTAGGCCCAGTGATCTCTCCTGGCCTCCTAGGATCCTTCAATCAGGCTGGGGAAGTACTACCCCAACAGCTTTCCTACCACCCAAAGCCACCAAGGCCAGTGACACATGGGCTTGGTTGTCCACAGTGTGGGCAGTACCTACTCTCCACAGAACCTCTGCAGGTGCCAGTGCAAATGTAAATTTCTATACTTTTAACACCTTCCTAATGGCTGAGCTTTCATGGTGACTCTTGGTATGTCACCTCCTAGGGATATTCCATCTCACTCAGGAGAATGACACTGTAGTGGTGGGGTCCAAAAATCACAACCGAGACTGAGGTGAGTCAGAGTCCCCAGTCCTCAGGTACCTTCTCTCAGGTTTCCATTTTATGGCATTTCTATAGTGTTTTGCTTTTCAGTTAGTGAGCAGTTATTTTCTACCTGTGTTCTTCCCAAAAGCTTCCCAGAAAGTGAAAAGGAAAAATGTGTTCATAGTGCATGATTTAAGCTAGACAAAGATGGCAAAAATGATTCATGGGAAACTGTGGGTTTGTATGTCTGTGCTGTGTGCTGCGTGTGTTTCTGTGTATGTCTCTGTTATGTATTTGTACATGTGTATGTGTGTGTGCAGAAGACTTTTCCAATAGCCACCCCAGATGATAGCTACCCTGCCTGGGCTGTGCACTTGGGGTGATTCGTGAGTCCAGTGGAGTTCCTGGCAGGTGACATGATCCAGTTTCTGGTTGGAGCTTATTTTTCCTGTATCTTAACTTAGAATGCTGTTCCCAAGCTCTAGAAGACTCTGGGGACTTCTGTCTCCAATCCCGTGTCCCAAGGAAGCATCTCCCTATGGGATGCCAGTGCTTCTGCCCTGTGGACTAACCTTTGAAGAGCCAGGTTCTAGAACTCACAATCCAGTGGTTGGTGAGACGTGTGAGTGGTCAGAGCTCAGGCCCTACTTGCTGTGAGGTAAGTTATCAGACATGACAGCCCAGGACAACCGGTCCTCACTCTTTTCATCATGTTTCCTAGCTCTGGCTCCACATAGCTGTTTTTTTTTTTTTCTTTTAATCACACCTCATTCACAGCAGGTGGACCATTGGGAACAGAAGTGCTCAGGTCCAAGGAGATCTAGAAAGGACTAGTGAGGGCTGCTGTCTTCCATTTCCTTTGAGAAGTTATTCCGTGGCTTTCTGCCGATAGCTACCTGTCTGTCCTTCTCACAGTGGGCTTCTACGAAGCAGCTTCTCACTTCAGGCATGAAGGGCATTAGAATGTTATCTTGCTTTGTTTCTGAGCCTCAGACTCAGCCACTAGAATCTCTCATGTCATTCACAGGAAACAAACATTGTCCTGGGCTTTTCAAACCAAGGATTTATGTGTTTGGGGTATTTCAATTAGGAAGACAGAAGGAAGGTGAGGACATCATTGAGCATTGATTTCCTGACACTGGTGGTCCCCTCTGGAATGTGAGAGCCTCACTTCAGAAAGCTGGCATTTGTTCACTGTGGTTTGACCTTCACGTGAGAACAGTTCAGTAAGGTTTCTCTGTAAAAGGGATTGGTGGACACGGCTGTGTGCTAGCAAGTTCTTCATGTATATTCACACAATTTCCAGTTCAATGTGGCTTCTTAAACTAGATGGGCCTCTGAGTAAACAACGAGCATTTCCTGTTAGGTATTTTACTTAGTTAGCTACTTAACTTCCCTGTTAGGAGCTGGCAGGATGCACTTTGCCTTCCTCATCTCTGCCTTTCCAACAGTCCACAGGTAGAATCCCCCTCACTTGGCTCAGATTTTCCTACACACAGAACCTTATATTTGGACAAACCTCAACCTACTCCATTTGGAGTTGAGTTAGGCCCTTCTTCTTTGACTTAATCTAACACTCCCCATCTCCAAAATAATACAAAGTTTGTTCCTACCCGAGCATGGCTTGGTGCTTGCCATTCCTATGGTATGGAATGTCTCCCACTCTTTTTGCTTGACTAGACTAGCTCCTTCTGTTTCTTTTCCTTCAAGTCTCAGCGGATTGTCAACCTGATTAGATTGAGAAGCACCTAGGAGGTTAGTAAAGCACACTTCTGGGTGTGTCTGTGAGGGTGTTTACAGAGAGGATTAACTAAGGGAGGAGGACCCACTTTGAACGTGGGTGGTGCCATCCCACAGGTGGGGGCCCAGGTGGAATAAAAGGGGAAGGAGGAGGAAGCCAGTCAGTTCAGATCTTCTGCCCCTGCCTCCTGGCTGCTCTGAGCTGAGGAATATGGCTCCACCACAGCCGTCCACTGTGATGGACTGAAACTTCTGAAATCATGAGCCAAAATAAGTCCTTCCTCCCTTAAATCGTTTTGCTCAGGTATTTTATTACATTGACAAAAAAACTGAGGAACACAGTAATACATATGCTTTTCTGCGTGTTTTCACACTAAGTGGATCAGCAACATTTAACAGTTATTTAGTGAAGTGGTCATGGTCTCACATATGGTTACACTAACGTGAATCAGCTAGTCCTCTCCCACTGGACACGTACATAGCTGCCAGTGTGTTTTATTATGAAAAATAACACAGCAGCGAGTATTTTTGTCCAAGTAGTGCTGCTTATCTCAAATAGGACCAGGCGTGGTGTGTTGTGGGATGAAGCATATGGATCTTCCATGGTTTTTCTTGACTTTTTACTTGCTACTTTCCAAAAGGCTTACAATGCCATCATGGAGCAGGATTTGTATCAAGAGTGTCTGTCTTTCATTTCCACAACTCTGGCTAATGTTGACTAGTCTCGATAACAGTAACAGTAGCAGCAATAACAACAGTTGATATTGTTGATATATATTGTGCCACAGAGGCAGACTTCCCAAGGTCAAATCTGTCCTCCATCAATTCACAAAAGTTAATTGCTTTCATCCCATCCTCCTAACATGGTCCATAGGCTCTTGTGAGGATCCATGAGTGAATGTAGTAGGTAGAGAGCCTGTGTGAAAACTAGCTGACTGATGGTTGTTACCATCCCTAATGTAGGGTGTTTTTATTAACCCATTTCACAGATGAGGAAACTAAGAGATTGAGTACTATATTCAAGGTCACAGAGATGTGACCTGGTACTGGGGATTCCAACCGCCCATGTGCTTTGCCATCGGAAGCGCACTGCCACCTCGTTTTTGCACTGACATCCAAGAAGTGTTACTGTGAACACTGAGTGAAACCAAGATTGAATTAAGCACAGAAACATGAGGTCAGTGTGATTCACTGGAAATGTTATGGCGAAGTGTCTTCTTTCCAAGACAAATAATAAAGCTAGGTTTGGTTTTAAATGCTACCTTCTCCATCAAGATCTGAAAGTCATTCATTCTCTGTGGAAGTGTTTCGTGGAATTATGAAATCCCTCTACTCTATAAAGGGCCTCTGGGAAGGCATCCTGAGGTCACATTCAGGCCATGTGAACTTCTCGACATCACCATAAACACTGTAAGCTAGCCCTTAGTGTGCTCAGTTCATACCTGCTTACATGGTTGTTTTATTAGCATAACATTCCTTTTAAGGAAAATGATATTGGAAGACAGAAACCATGGAAGCACATTTTTCACATCTATGACTGATTATGAGTTTTGATTTGTTTGGTTTTTTTTTAACTTTCTTTGCAGGCTTGATGAATTAATTGTAAATTTCCCAAGGGGAATCTAACATGAGCAGCTCTTTGCCTTTTTTTCTGGAATGTTTAGTTTCTGTTCTGTTCCCAGTGACAACCCTTTGAAGTCGAAGTTTGAATATCGCCAAGGGCTCATAAAATTGCTGACATAACCTACTTTCCCCAGGGAACTGATTTCAGTTTTCATAATGAGTTAACAACTTCTTTCTCTCCCAATCTCTTTGCTCAAATAGCTATTTGTGGAGACCACTGATGTCAACGGCAAAACTCTGGAGGGTCCAGTGCCTCTGGAAGTCATCGTGATTGATCAGAATGACAACAGACCAATCTTTCGAGAAGGCCCCTACATTGGTCATGTCATGGAAGGGTCACCTACAGGTAGGTCAAGCTGGCTTACTACTAGCGTAATGGCTGAGACAGTGGTCCAGTGTGATCTTTGGGGATTCTAAATATTGTTGTATTGCTCAGAATTGTTGGATTGCATCAGTTTTGATGTGTGGTTTTCTGTGTAGAAGCAAGGCTAGAAAGATGAAGCTCAGAGCAGAACTGGGATATCAGGAGCTATGAACCTAACCTTGTCTCTGTGGGTGATGCTTCCAGGATGCCTGCCGTCCAGGTCTCTGATGCTTGGCTGATGGTGGATGCTGTGTAAATCTGGCTCATTTTATACAAGCCCAGAGCCAAATTTGCCATCAGAGAGTTTTGATGAGAACTAAAGTCTTCTCTATAAATTCGTCTGTGATTTTTTTTTCATAATTGCCTTTTAAAAAGAACAATCTTAGTAAGACACACTGGACTTTTTTTCCCTTTCCTTAAAAGATGTCCATGGAGAAACCTTTTGTTTTCAGTTAAAGGGCCAAAGGCAAGGCGTTTTCTCTCTCTCTCTCTGGAAAAGCATGTACCTGCTCTTTTGGAAATCACTCAAGAGTACTGGAGGGCTCCTTGCTATCTTTTCCCTATGTTGAACCTGTCAGGGGAGGTTTTAGAATTTACAGCTCTTTGTTTGGCCCAGAACAGACTAACTAAAGCATTCCATGGCCAGCAGCAGAAGTCACTCCTGAGTATAATGCTTGAGAAAATGAAGAACAGAGGAGGAAAATCCCTATTTGACTCAACTTTGATTTTTAGCTTTAAGATAGATTTGAGTGAAGAAAAGCACCATATTAAGAGTGCCACTGTGCTGGCTCTAAGAATATGCCCAAACAATGAGTATAATAGTCATTCAGCAGACCAGACAGGAGACGGGAGCCAGAGGAACACTTTAACTGTTTTTCCCCCTTTGCTGAATTGATGGGATGTATCAATGACATGTAGATACCAGAGACTCTGCAATGTTGCCATGGTAACCTCCTCAGACTACCAGGTGAATAATTGCATGCAAGATGCCTCAAACCTCCCATCAGCTCCCCCATGGGTCTCTGTGCACCTCATCAGATCCCCCAAGGGCAGAAGCAGCCCTCTCCCTTCCCAACTTTGAATGCAGTCTGTACAAATGAGGATGAATTTGCTGTGTGGGCCGGAGGGTATTCGGGGGAGAGGTAGAGGCAGAGGAGTAAAAACAGGCCTGGAGAGGTGGAAAAAGGCCAAGTGAAGGTAGATTAGACACTTCAGGGTCACATGGCACCTCTCAGTGGACTGCTTTTGATGGGGAGAGGGCTTCTGGTAAGAGAGACCCTGGAATGTGGAGTTGATATTTATAGAAATCTACTAACACAGGCTGAACAGGTCAGGAAGTCTTGTTGGGAAAAGCCATTAGAGAGACCAGAGTCTGAGCAGGGCAGGATGACTCCTGGTTTCCATCTGTGGTCTCCAGGCCGGAGAGACTAGAATACAGATGGGCCAAGCATGCTCTCAATGTAAAAGACAGTGGTGCCTTTGGGAGCTGTGAGCACGCATGTGTCTTTGCACATTTTGTGTGTATGAGATTAGATGATGCCCAATTTTCCTCCCACTGTGTCCTTCCTAAAGTTTAGGAAAGAGTTTCAGCTTTTAGTGCTTTGTATCCATGTCATTGTCTCAAAGAAAAATAGGCTCCTTTATGCACACTGAATTTCTTAAAGCACAAAGCTATTCAGTTAGGGGTAGACGCAGCTCCAGGAAAGCATAAGCCACCTGAAACTTCTATTTATGACTGGTATTGTCCCATAAAATAAAGACTTAGATGTCTGTGTGGAAGAGCTGCCACTGGTGTTGCAGAATTGGCTTGGTTGCTGTTTTCTTTTTCAGCACCTGTTAACTATAGAGCAGGCATTGAAATAGACTCAGATTTAGGGTCAAGAATGTGGAGATGTTTTAAAAAAAAACTCTTGGAGGAAATTTGATTTTAGGTTACTTAGCACCATGGAAGTATGCCCCTGGGGCATCCATGAGACTGTGAATCTGGAAAAGATGGTATCACACCCTTCTCATGTCCCCTCCCCAGCTTTTCAAATTCTACCAACAAGTTCTGGATGGGTATAACTGTAATCACCTATTTCTGTAGTGCCCCGTGTTTGGAGCTCTTAGAGTCCTAGGTGGTGTACTCGTGGTACAGCACCCATCTTTCAGGAAGGGACACACACTGACCTTGGAAAGGATTCAGCATCTTCCCAGTTCACAAATAAGTGTTGTGAGACACAGTTTGATATTTAACCTCCATCAATCTACCTTCACTTCAGATTTCAGATGTGGCGTACACTTCACGACGAAAACATCCATCAGACTCTCCGAGCACTAGTCAGCCCCCCACTGTGTACCTAGGGCATTAGATAAACTACAGCATCTTCTCCACTAACCTTTCCACCTGGGGTGGATCCCACTGTCCCCACCTTACAGTTGAGAAAACTGAAGCTCAAAGAGGTGTGGAAACTTGACCACATTATAGCAGGTGGAGGAGACAGAATCAGTGACCATGACCCTAGCTTCAGGCTATGCGCTCATTCCCATACACCATGTTGCCCTTGACTGCTTTCTTCCTAAAGGTCAGAAACCATGGGAACTTACCGATAGGGTGCAGCCATAATTTGCTCAACTCAGTGGTCAAACTCTGGCTGGGTCAACACTGGTATGCTGCTTGAAGGCCCATCCAGGTGTGTACACAGCAGCCCACAGCTGTTTTTGGACCCCCCAAGAGCTACCTAGCCTTGGATCTGTCCTGCTTCAGCACTTGCATCCATGGGTTCTTTGCAGGTCAGCTCCTGAGAGAAAATGACCAGCTCCCCTGACCAACAAGAGCCAGGCTACTTGAAACCCTCTCATAAACTGCTAGCTATTGCTTGGTCTCTGGGGAAAACAGGATGAAAACTGAGGCCTTTGTCATCACTTACAACACCTTCACTGGAGTCCACATACCCAGAGCCAGCAGCATACACAGTGGCCCATATAGCCCCACAAAGCCCACGCTCAGAAGAGCCCATGCTTGCTTTAATGTTCCATTGTCACCATCTCAAACCTCATGATAACTGTAGAACAAGGGACCCCACACTTCATTTTGCACCAGGTCCTTCAAATTATGTAACTGCTACTATAAACAGCACTGTGGCCTAGAACTGGGTTTAATGCTCCACCCAGATTCTTAACAAGGTGAGGTGTCAAGTTACTGAACCTTCTAGAAGCCCCAACTTCCTTGACTGTAAGTGGGGGTGAGGTGGTCATGCCTGCCTTAGAGCCTGTGTGCGAGGATTAACTGAGACAGCATGCATCATCCCGTCCTGAAAACATAACAAATGCTCAAAGGATGCCGGTGTGTTGTTGATACCGCAGTTATTCTTTGTATTCTGGCATTATGCCCTATAGCAAAGGTAAAGCACAGAAACACACAGTTAGTGTGTCAAGGAGAATTCATCTCCCACAAGCCAAGCAGCTTTGTCACGTTCCTGTGTACCTGAACGCCATCAGCACCGATCCATCACAGAGGAAGGTCACCCGTATTTATCTGCTCATGCAGACGGGAGCCCATTCCCACCTGTTCAGCGCTACGCTCCAGGGTGTTGTTTTGGGGAATCACTCCCGGATGAAGACAGATCAACAGAAAATAATGGTCTTTGAACTCTGTGGATCATGAGCTGTTCCTTTCGTAGAGTCACAGCCTTGATTTATGGGGCCCAAGCCAAGGCTCTGGCTGCTCCATGGGCCTGCAAGGTCTCTGGGTAAATCTGGTGTTCCCTGAATTCCCAAGACATGCCAGGCCTCAAGGGCACAGGTATGGGGCCCTTGAGACTCCTGGAGGGCATCTGTACCAGTGCCCCCACTATAACCAGTTTACAGACATCTGGCCACCAGTGGTCTTCTGGGCACCTTTGTGAAGGGCTAACCATGAGCAATGAGTAGCATGTGATGACATTCCCCAGGGAGACCCTGATAAGGGTTGAGGGCTGATGGTTTATCTGAACCCCAGGGAAGGAGAGGTCCAGGAAAGGACCATCAGCCAAGGCAAGGTACAATGTTATGCCAGCTACCAGGTGGGCAGTCGGGCTTAGCCTTTAGGAAATGCTATCAAACCTGTCATTAGAGTGATCCCAGGCAAGGGGCCAGGTAGTTGGGATATTGGTCCCCAAACCTGAAGATGAAGAGCTGTCCCCAGAAGGACAGACTTCTAGGCACCTTTGATCCAGTGCACAGGCTGCCTTTCAGCAAGACTTGGGAACTGCCTGTGGGGTTGGCCTCAGCTCTGCTCCCCCTCCCTGGCTTGGCCACTGAATAGCAGCTGGGATGGCCATGAGAATGGCACCCTACTCTGGGCAGAGGAGCAGCCTCGAGAGATGTCAGGGCAGACAGGCAATGGGAGGAATATCTTATTCCTCAACCCAGGTGACTAAGAAGACATCTGTTGTGTTCATCTTCCTTCAGATGGGGGCAGGACATGTCAGAGTCGTGAGAGGACCATTTGCTTCGGGGCTGAGGCTAGTGAAGGTGGGCAGAGAGAACAGTTACTTCCTCATTCTTTCTCTTCTGAAAACTCAATAATTCTCTCACACCCTCACTTCCTCTCTTCTTCCTTGTGTTTCTCCCTCCAATGTTTTTCCCCCACATCCCCTCTGGGCTGCAGTGCTGTAGGCTCCAAGGGCACTGCAATGGGTAAGACAGATACTATTCCTTTCCTCCTGGTCTTCACAGGCATGGAGTGACACAGCAATGAATAAACAACTGAAATTGTGGCAAATCTACGACAGAGCCAGACAGGATGCTGATCTCAGGAGGGGCCAAGTCTCATCTTACAGTGGGAGAGGCCCTCTCTCTGAAGATGTGATGGGAGGATGTAGCTGTTTGTCATTTATTTTTCCTCTAAGATGGCCTCTGTCTCTTCACGGCATAATTACTTTAATTTCTGAACAAGTCTCCTCAGGCCAGACATAAAGGAAAACGGCCCATTGGGTGGCTAGCCATCCTGAGAGCTGGGC